GTTGGGAGGGGGAAACATGCTTTGGGAAATAGCAGGTAAAACAGAATATCAAGAGAATCATTAAGGAATCAAAACCACCCATTAACACGAAAAAGGGAACAAAGGCAGATTTCACATTCTTTTCATATCTCGTGGTAGGCGTGCCACCCGCTCCCACTTCACTTGTCTTGTGGTAGGCGTACCAGCCGCTCCCATTTCACTATATCTTTGTTGCAGCATGCAACATGATCCACATATAATATTATTGCGGCGTGCAACCTGATCCACATATAATATTGTTGCGGCATGCAACCCGATCCACATATAATATTGTTGCGGCGTGCAACCCGATCCACATATAATATTGTTGCGGCGTGCAACCCGATCCACATATAATATTGTTGTGGTGTGCAACCCGATCAACATATAATATTGTTGTGGGTTCAACCCGATTCACATATAATATTTACAATTATAACGAGAGTCCTGACAAGAGATCAATAAGGTCTACACTGTCCCAGCAAGGGATTCGACAGCATAAGCAATCACGTCCCCGCAAGGGAGAAACATCTATAACCAAACTTGATACCACACCTAACTACCTCAGTTATAACCAAACTCGTTACAACATCTAACCACCTCAGCTATAACCAAACTCGTTACCACCCCTAACTACCTCAGCTATAACCAAACTTGTTACAACATCTAACTACCTCAGCTATAACCAAACTCGTCACCACCCCTAACTACCTCAGCTATAACCAACCTCATTCCGATACCTAACTACCTCAGCTATACCCATAATCCCTACCCAACACAAAGAATCCTCAACCTAAACATCCGTACTATCAATTAAGAATACAATGCAAGGGAACCACAATTCAATAATAGCCCGGCAGGGGGGCAACATAATGATCTCTTCTTTTTCTCACTCTTACTTCACAATTCACTTCACAACTCGAGCCAATGCTCTAGAGTTTTAATTATCATTTATACTTTTACAACTTCGCTATACAACTTGTGTCAACGTTCCTCAATGTTCATAGGTCACAATTCTTTCCACAAACTTCATACAACAATTAGAAATCTTCATCAAGGCATGAATAATACAACGAAATCATGAAAATCACAATATAAGACTCACGGTCATGCTTGACACCAACGTATAGATACTCGTCACCATGCCTATACGTCGTACTCAACAAGAAGTAAATAGCAAATAGGACACAACTACTAATCCTTCAAGCTAAGGTTAGACCAAACACTTACATCGATGCCTTGAACACAACTCAAGTTTCAATTATAGCTTTATCCCTTGATTCCACCACCAATTCGCTCGTATCTAGCCACAGGTTACTTAATTACATCAATAAACGCTAAATGAATCAATTTGAATGCATGAAAATGAGTTTTCCAAAGTTTTACCCAAAAAAGTCAAAATTGCCCCCAGGCCTACGTGGTCAAAACCCGAGGTTCGAACCAAAACTCGATTACTCATTCCCCCACGAACTCAAATATATAATTTATTTTGAAATCAGACCTCAAATCGAGGTCCAAATCCCCAATTTGAAAAACCTAGGTTCTACCCAAAACACCCAATTTTCCCTATGAAAATCATTGATTTGAAGTTGAAATCATGTTAAAAGATGTTAATGATTGAAGAAAACTAGTTAAAAATGACTTACAATTGATTTCGAGAAGAAAGGTTGTTTGAAAAATTGCCTCTTATGTTTTTGGAGTTTTGAAAAATGACTGAAAATCCCATCTATTTATACCCTTCTCAGACCCCCTGTGCGGACCGCACAAAATGGATTGAGGCCGCACAGGCCTTACTGAGGTTACTGCGGTCCAGTGCCCTATGCGGACCGCACAAAGTCGACTGCGGTCGCACAACCTCCACCGCGCACCGCACAAGGTCGACCGTGGACCACACTGGTGGGTTCAGAGACCTGCAACTTCTGGTTTTAAGCCTAAAACATCCTGAAACTCACCCGAGCCCTTGAAACTCCGAACCAAGTGTGCATACTAACTCCAAAAATATCATATGGACCTACTCGTGTGATCACATCATCAAAATAACATGTAAAATCATGAATTAAACCTCAAAACTTAACATTTTCATCAAGTACTCTCAAAGTCCATAACTCCTCAACCGGAAGTCCAATTCATGTCAAATAAACTCCATTTTCACCAAATTTCACGGAAACGTCTTAACTCATATATAAGACCTGTACCGGACGCTGGAACCAAAATACGGGCCCGATACCATCATGTTCTAAGCGAATTTCATTTCAATTTTCCTTAAACAGTCTGAGAAAACAATTTCTTTTAAAAATTCATTTCTCGGGCTTGGTACTTCGGAATTCGATTCCGGGCATACGCCCAAATCCCATATTTTCCTCCGGACCCTCCGGACCGTCAAATCATGGGTCCGGTTCCGGGTCCGTTTACCCAAAATGTTGATCGAAGTCAAATGAACTCATTTTATAACCAAATTTTATCATTTTTCATAGGATTTCATATTTAAGCTTTCCGGCTACGCGCCCAGACTGTGCACGCAAATCGAGATAACTCTAAATGAGGTTTTCAAAGCCATAAAATACAAAATTTAATTTAAAATAAGTGATGACCTTTTAGGTCATCACAATTACCTAGAAACACCCGAAAATATTGTATGGACAATGGCCCTAAAATTTGAGATAAAGAAATAACCCATCATTCATCTTTTACTTGAAACAAAAATTTAACAAAACTCCTTTTGATCAACATTGGTTTTTAAAACTTGAAATATAGCATATTACTTATAAACTGTATTAACCTTTTAAATTTTATACCATTCTACTCCTTAATTATTGATTACTGAAAAAATAATTTTACAATTTATTCATATTAACTAAGCCTTATTTCCTGAATTTTTGAAGATCCAGTTATTGGCCTCATTCGTTCTTTTTAAGATTAAGACGTCTGAATTTGAATAGACGTCTGTATTAAGATTAAGACGTTTGAATTTGAAGATACATCCGAATATTAAGATGTATATTAAAGATATGAATACTAAATGATTAAGATTGTTTGATTTTTAACATCTGGATATATAAAATTTATCTTAATTTAAATATTAATAAACATAAAATTCAAATGAAATACTAATTAATCCAATATTCTATCAATAAAATATATAATTTTTTTAAAATATGGTAGTTACGTGTGGTGATAGCTAACGGTGGTGCTTGTGAATGCCGACTAGAGGCACTGGTTGGTAGTAGTTTTGGCTGATGGTGGTGGTTCATGGTAGTAGCTAGTAGTGATTAGTAGCGGTGGTGATTATGATTGAGGTTGGTGGTGGTGGGTGGTGGTGGGTGGTGATAGTTATTAATAGTGGTTGGTGGTGGTAGTTGTGATTGAGGAAGGTGGTGGTAGTTTATAATGATGGACAGTGTCGCCTATGGTTGTTAATATTGATGGGAGTGGTTAGTTGTGGTAGTTGAGGTGGATGAGTATTGGTTGTGGTTGAAAATGGTGGTGCTGGGAGTGGTGGGGATGGTGCATGGTGGTAGTCAATAATGGGGGCGACTATGATTGAGGATGATAATGGCAGTGGCGGTGGTTGAGTATGGCTATGGCGGTGGCGGTGGCGGCATGGCGGTAGTTGATAATAGTAGCCGGTGGCAGCAGTTAATAATGAATATGGATGATATCATCTTAATGAAGTTAAGTCTCTGTCATAGATCTTAATTATACATGCCTATTCAAACTCATTAAGTGGTTGTGAAGTTAAAAAAAATAAACACACATAATGATTAAGATCTAAATAATTAAGATTCAGACTTAAAAAACGAACGCATTTAATGTTCGAGATTTGAATGATTAAGATTCAAACCTCCATTAAGTACAAACAAAGGAGGTACTGACTATAGCATTTGGCTTTTGACTTCCTTTTTATTTGGTTTCCCATCCGGTGTTCGGTACCCGCATTGGAGCCCGACTATATCTGGATTCGCGTCGCGTAGGGCCCCATTCGGGGGGAAGCGCTCCCTACCAAGGATTTTTCCATACCCAGGGCTCGAACTTGAGACCTCTTGTTAAGGGAGGAGCAGTCTCATCCACTGCACCACATCCTTAATGTTAATGAGGCCCTCTTTTATCACTCAAAAGATGAAAGCTATATTATTTTCCTAAATACAAATGTTAAGGGATCGTTAAGTGAAATTTACTCTTTTTTACTACTATATATAAGAGGGTATTTATGTTTATCCAAAATTTAAGCGGGGAAGTTTTGTAATACAAAACATATACTCCTTAAATGTTACGTTTGAGGAATTGTTGTCCTTTTACAACAATGCTAGTGAAATATTAAGTTGTCCAAATAACAAATTCTAATAATTGTTGTCCTTCTACAACAATACTAATAAAATAATAAGTTGTCCAAACAACAAATTCTAATAATTGTTGTCCTTATACAACAATACTAATAAAATAATAAGTTGTCCAAATAACAAATTCCAATTGATTCGATTAAAAAATACGCCTCCTTAATTATTAGGAATATTCAACTGGCCCTCTATATATAACACCTCGTGAGAACCCAATATAGTAGCCGTCTAGAAACTTCGAAAATCCAGTACTGGTACGTTACGTTGAATAAGATCTCATGCAAACGAAAGCTCCTAACTGTGAATCTTGTTTATGAAGTAATTACTCTATGTGTATATGTGTACATTAAGACTAGTATTTTTACATCCAATAAATAAATTAATTGTGCTGCATAACATTCATGTGATTTACCTAAAAGCAATTAATCAACCAATTATCCTTTATTATAATCTTGTCTTTTCTTTTACCATAGGCATCTTTTCATGCCCTCGATTTATACTATGTAAGCAAGTTATTTACTAGTGTAAAGCGATCTTTTTACTTGTATGTTTTCCTGATCATGTCACAATATAATCAAATCATCACACAAATAAACAAGTCTATTGATTATTCTTTTTCTTTGATTGATCAAATTTGATAGAGTTAAGATGCAGAAGATTAATGGTCGAGACACAGCTGCATGTGCATCGTGTAAACATCAACGAAAAAAGTGTGCAAACACATGTATATTAGCACCTTATTTCCCAGCAGAGAAAAGCCGAGAATTTCAAGCAGTACACAAGATATTTGGTGTCAGTAACGTCGCAAAACTAATAAAAACTCTCATAGAAGAAGATCGGAAAAAAGCCGCGGATTCGCTTGTTTGGGAAGCGTTCTGTAGGCAGAAAAATCCTGTGCTCGGTTCATATGGAGAGTATAGAAGAGTTGTTGAGGAACTCAAGTTGTATAAAAGCCAATACCAGCAAATTCTTCAAATTCCAACCCAAGGGGCAACTCATGATATGATGTACAATGCAGCACAAGGGTTGAATAATGGATATAATAAGAAAGCCAATTCTATGATGGAGTCTTGGCTGTGTAGCAATAACATCCATTTACAACATGTCCAAAATAATATGGAGAAATTAACAAGTGATTGTAATGGTTCCACTATTATTGTGCCACAACAAGCAATTGATGGTTTTACTAACCACTATTATCTTACTGCAGGTAGATATCTTGAAATACTTATTTGTTCTTTTCTACATGTTTTTAATTAAACACATTCTATTTTTTTTTTCTACATTAACAATTTTTTTGGTGAATATTTATAGGCAATTGTAACCCAATTGATGTCAAGCGAATGGAAAACTCATCGTGGGAGGCTAGCTCATGAAATTACTGATCTAAACTTTCTTGTTTTCTTTTTAGTTTCCCTTTCTATTACCAATTTTTTTGATATGTTTTGCTATAGAGATATAGATACATCTTGTTGCTTTTGAGTCCTTTTTCTCTTTATTTATTTTTTCCCTTTATTTCCTCCAGAATCAACAAACAGTAATAGTTGTACTACTGTTAAGCAGAAAGTAAGAATATATATTTGTAAAAAAGTAACAATGAAGTATGAACAATCATAAATGAGCTGGCGACGCAACATTATATATCAATTCAGATTTTGATCCGACTAGGAGGTGAACCAATTGGAGTGATGAACGATAACCGAAATGATGAACCATAACAAGCTAGTTATTAGTGTCACGACCTCATTTCTAACTAAGTCGTAACCGACATTCAGTGACTTAACTTGACCGAGCGAACCATCTTAACTTTTCTACTCTGTTCTATTTCTGTTGTGCAATGCATCTCAACACAATTCAATATTATTTAAAGCAAATTCTTTTCTGAATCTTTAAATGAAATGATATTCGAAAATAAATTCGTTATGTTATATTAAATACATTGAAAAACAAATGTAATATAAAGTGGACACTCATGACTCTGTTATGACTATGTCTGTGAAGCCTCTAAGAAATACTGAATAATAAGACAAAATTCTGAAATCAACGAGCTCCATTTACTCCATGAAACAAAATGGAGCTCACCAAGTCTACTGATAATGAGAGGAGGATATCTTAGCTCGTAGCCTGCTTACCTGCAAAATATGTTCCTACATTGACATAGGTTATACTCAGTAAGTAAAGCAATCCTCCCACTAAAGCTAGAACGGGACTCTAAAAGAAGTATTTATGCATGAGAAAAGAAAATTCCAAAAGTTTCTCATGAAAAGTTGAAACAAACAACTCATGTATCTATGATAAGGTTTTTCTTGATGTCATTTATGAAAATTCTCTTTTTTTTTTCTCTTCTTCTCCGAAAAAAATATAAAAATTTAAATAGATAATATAAATTTTCTTGAAACAATCCTTGTAAATTTTCTAAATTATTTTCTTTTCTTTTCTTTTCTTTCTTTTCTTTCTTTTCTTTGGGAGTTCCATTGATTCTGACATTCTTTCTGATTCTTATTCTGAAAATGTCACCATATGATCAGTATTGTGGTCGATCCCAGCCTGATCGTCTGGACCCTATTCCTGTAGTGCCTCACGGTTCAAGGTTCTAGCATGCTCGCGTTCTTGTGCCTTACATGGGTACTTCTATTATAGTACCTGAACCAACGGTACACTAATCTCCTACTACGACACGAGTAATTTCGGGATAACATAAATCCCTAGAGGATATAAACCCTTCTCAGAGATCTATAAAAAAACAATATTCTTCTAAGTGATTCTTGTATCACAAAATGTAAAACAATAATATATCTCACAATTCTCATCAAAAGAGTTCCATAAAATCATGTAAAAGAAATTTCAACAGGTTATAAATAAATATATGCAAGTCATGAATGCATAGAACATGATTTATGGAACAATGTACTATTCTTAAGTTATTAACCATGATAATCATCTAAGATCTTTTCTACAATTCTAATGGATAATGTGAGTCCACTCGTTTCATTCAGAGCCCAAATTAACGTCCCATACAATCGAACAAATATTTATGGCATGATCTTTGTGAGAAGACGACTTTAGTAAAAACATTATCTCTACTCACCTTAGTTCTTTGTTTGATCACCCCCGTTACTTCTATCCACATGATTCAACTTCTCAAATCAATCTATATACAATTACATCAAGAATCAATACTAGAAGGTCCAAGATTTCCAAAATTTGAAAATCCTAGGTATTATTCTTCTCTCCTTCTAAGGTTCATCACCAATCTAAGTATCTTTCTCTAAGTAGTAGTTTATAAGAACAAATATCAATCATAAACCGTTCTAATAATCGTGGTTGAAAGCGTTCACGAAATTTGCCTTGAATCGCGAAACCCTAAGTTAGCGGAGAGACCTTATTCTTGAGTTCTTGTTGAGAATCTAGCGATTTTGAGATGGAATATTGTTTGAGAATCTATGTTAATCGCATTGAAAACTCACCTTAAGTAGTATGAGAAGCCTTGGATGACTTGAGGATGAGATGAGAGGTTTAATCTTTAAAGAATGAAGCTATTTTCTCTCTCACCGTCCCTTTTATTTCAACTGCACGCCTTAGGCGTCACAATCCGCGCCCAACGCTACCCACGATGCCCAAAGAAAATTAGTTCTAGTTTTGACTCGCCCCCGGCGCTAAGGCAGCTTATCGGGCTGATTGGGCGGATATTTACGCTTATCAGTTTGTCTTATCGGTTAACGGCTTGTAAATGCACTAATTCGTTAGTCAACCGATAAGATATTTGGGTAGATCGGCATCGATTTAGCAATTATCGGGCGATTTATTGGCTAAATCAAATAGACAATGAGTACATATATGTCACGACCCAAACTGGAGGGTCATGACTAGCACCCGGGCCATATTTGCCGAACACCAACGTACATTTATCTAACTTTCCTTATTATCTTTAAGGGCCGACGAGATTAATATAAATGGTAGACATGGATCATGAACAACTACAATGAAATATAATGGCATGAACATACATAACATGGGATGACCAGACATCTAAGAAACTATATATAAGGTACGAGCTACCATGCTGCCATAAAAGACTATACAGCAAAAATCAGCCGACAAGGCATACCAAACTATACATGAGTCAACATATGTCTATGAGCCTCTAAAGGAATATAAGTACTGCAATATTGCCAAAAAAGGGCCCTGACATACCCATAATATCTATAACAAAAATGCATACCAAGACCACGGCAAGTCCGGAGAAGGGATCTCGCCAATAACCATTGAAGTGGGCAGCCTACTGTGGTGGGGGAGGTGCATCTATCCATCTATCAGGACCTGCAGCATGACATGCATCGTCCACAAATAAAAAGGACATCAGTACAAATAAAGTACTGAGTATGTAAGGCAGAAAAGCATAAGTACCAGCAGTAATGTAAACAAGGATAGAAAATATATACAACTTGTAACATCTTGGTACCTCTGAGGGCAACTGACATGAAATGCATGATACATACATATATATATATATATATATATATATAATTTTAAAACATATGCCTTTGTGGGCATCATCATGTCGTACCCGGTCATAATAAGCTTGGTAAAAACGTACCCGACCATCATAAGGCTCGGTAGAATCATACCCAACCATGTGGAGCTCGGTAAAACCCAACTGGTTAGTGGTTGCACAATAGGTACCGTTCCCAGTCATCTATAGTATGGCTCGGTAGAGTAAAATAGATACATATGTATCATGCATGCTGGACTCATTGGAATAATATTCTGAACCTTTCGAAGTGATGTTAGGTTGGCATCCTCTATACACGTTATTAGGACTAACTCTTCATCATGAATCTTTTAAGAATCAGGAAGTACCAACAACATTAATAACATAAGAATAGGAGAAGCAACATCAAATCAATCGCTCCATAAGAAGGGAAACAATGTAAGTACTGCTAGCTTCTTAGAGTAGAGTATCTTTGGAAGCTCGTTCATTATATTATATACAATTGGAGTCGTGCAAAAGAAGGAAAGGGATAGCCTCACATACATTGTATATACTTCCCAACCTCAAGCTATGCAAATTTCACGACTCCTTAGTCTACAATAAGAGAAATGATACTATCGTTATCCTTTAGGTGTCGTAACTATTATGTATCTACCACAACCTATTTACGAGGAAACACACATCACCTCTACTATTTATATGACTTCTCACAAGTCAAAACAATCACCAAACATCCCAAACAAGATCAATAATAATCATATTGATCCTCCCAAAACATTTCACCAACCAACAACACTATTACCAAGCCTTTCGATATATATTTCACAAGTTCTAGCTTCAATGACTTAGCTGCAACTTGGATAATCTTAAATACATGTAGAGTAAGAGTTCCTTACCTTTAAAGAGAAAGAAAAACTCCAATTTGACCTTAATTTCCCACAAAATATCCCTCCAATGCTGCCACAAGAACGAGGAAGCGAAACTAGCAATCAATTAGGGTTTTTCGGCACTAGAATCACTTTAGAAGACTTGAAATCACCTAGGGTTGATATTAAAAACTTGAGGGAGTATTTACAAAACATAAAAAATTTAAAACAACCTCCCACACGAGCTGAAACAACACAAAAAATGAGCAACAACAAGAAGAACAAGAAACTTACTAGCGCCACGGGATTTCCGATACTTGATTTGTGTTGTTTGCACTTTGTTTGGTCTTGGATCATGAGAAAAACTTGAGAGAGTATTTTTAGGGTTCTAAGGTCTGAATATACTGTAAAATAATGACTAAACATGGGGTTGAGGCATCTTATTTATATCCGTATATCTTAAACCGCCTATGTAGGCCCCATAGAAAGGTGCTTGGCGCAGTCTCACGAAAATGTGAATATTTCTCTACTTGAGATTGTATGGATGAAAGGTTTAATTCATTGGAAACTAGACTCATAGATCTTCAATTTGATGGGTAGATCATCCCGTAATTCCTAGTAAATTGGGAGAAAAGCTTAGTAGCATTCGACCTAAAGTTTAAGTAAAATTATGAACGTAAGTTGCGCCAACTTTTGTCGACTTTTGTTTCATAACTCATTTGACTTCAATACTTATGATACGGATATTATATGATTAAAATACCTTAAAACATGACCTCTTGAGTATATTAAGCACCTCTAGGTTTACCCAAAAATACGGATTACAACTTCCTTGATTCGTTTAACTTCTAATACTTGTTAACCCCCCTTATACACCCTTGTATCATTTAAGACCAATAGGATTAACTTCTTATTATCTCAAAGATAATACCTCCTCGGATTTACGTTGACTAACTTATGGTATAAACTAACGTACGTGAATATGAGTTGTAACACCCTTCCCTCCTAGGAGCATTCGTCCTCGAATGTAAGGGTTTATGGGGAGTCTAACTCATCGTGGATTTCAACGAAAATTTCTGGCCAAGTTTCTCCTATGAAATGGACACTAGCCAAACCCGCAAGCAGTTAAGCCCAACGTATTCCCTCAAAAGGCTACAAAGCATTATGGATATGTAAATTATCTGCATATCACTATTTTGCATTAAGGAAGAGTATTCTCAAGCTATTGCGTACCTCATAGAGTTGTTTCACCTTCTAATGGGTCCTTCGTTCCCCTGACATCCTCGTTATCTTCATTCTGGAACAGGTAAGGGTATTTAGACCTTATCTTGTCTTCTACTTCCTATGTCATTTCTTTCATATTCTTGTTCCTTCACAATACTTTGACAGAAGCTACATCTTTTGTTCTCAACTTGCGGACTTGTCAATCTAATATACCACTGGCACTTCTTCATATGATAGATCCTCTGTAACTTGTACATCTTTGATAGAGACGACTCGAGAAGGGTCTCCAATACATTTCCTCAACATAGATATATGGAATACCGGGTGGAAAATTCTAACTCATAAGCAACCTGTCCAATTCGTCGAAGAATTTTATATGGACCGATATACCGCGGACTCAGCTTACCCTTCTTCCCAAAATGCATAACACCCTTCATCGGCGAGATCCTTAGTAAAACCCAATCATCAACCTCAAACTCCATATCACGACGTTGTACATCAGAATAAGACTTTTGTCTGCTTTGCGCCATCCTTAGTTGTTCTTGTATCACTTTCACCTTCTCAATGGCTTGGTGAATCAAATATGGGCCATATAATTCTGTTTCACCGACTTCAAACCATCCCACGGTGATCTACATCTTCTCTCGTACAGTGCCTCGTACGGAGCCATTTTAATACTAGAATGGTAGCTATTATTGTAGGCAAATTCTATGAGTGGTAGATGATCATCCCAACTTCCTTTGAAATCCAGAACACATGCTCGTAGTATATCTTCAAGTATCTGAATGGAACGTTCAGCCTATCTGTCAGTTTGCATATGGAATGCAATGCCGAGATTCACTTGTGTGCCTAAACCCTTCTGAAAAGACCTCCAAAAGTTAGCCGTAAATTGAGCTCCTCGGTCTGATATAATAGATACTGGCACACCATGAAGCCTAGCAATCTCCTTGATATACAACTTCGCATAATCTTCAGCCGTGTAAGTTGTCTTAACTGGCAGAAAATGGGCACATTTTGTAAGTCGATCAACTATCACCCAGATGAAGTCAAACTTATGATAAGAGCGAGGCAATCCAATAATGAAGTCCATATTAAGCACCTCTCATTTCCAGGTCGGAATCTCTATATTCTGAAGCAATCCACTAGGTTTCTGAAGCAATCCAGGCATAGTCTAAGGAATAGTAGGGAGCTCCAAGGAATGTTATATTAACCAATTATAAACCTAAGGGTTTATTATGACCGGGTCCAGTATTCGGACCGATCGATAAAGTCATACACTTGGATTTTTCACAAACGAAGGCAAAATGAAGAAACTCTTATATTAATGAAGGACGATTACAAAAGCCCACGAGGGGTCCTTACACAGAAACAACGAAGCAAAAAATAACAGCTGAAAAGCCTAATCTACTTTCGAGGGTATATCCTTGGGAGCGACATTTTCGAGAACCGTTTCCTCGGGGACCCCATTTCGATCTTCAGAGCGCTGCCTTCGAGAACCTCTTTCGAAGCAACAATAGATGAAGAAAAGGCTATAGCCTGTCAAAGAGCAAAAGCTTTTAACAGGCGAGGAAAATTGTGGCCTGGTGAAAAACTTGGCGAGTATGTGCCTCGTCAGCACTACTATTGTGAAGCCACTTCTTGAGACATTGTACCGGTGTGGGATGCTAAAGTTAGTAGATAGCGCCACCTCGCTCCATGGAAAGAAAAAAGAGTGAAGCACCACACCAGATTGAAGTTAAGAGAGATGAGCAGCGGTTTATGATCCACATATCTTTTGATACGGGAAGAATTTGAGACCCCTCTCTCATTATTTCGGGCTAACAACAACAACAACAACAACATCCAGTATAATATCATTCAGTGGGGAAAATCTCTGAAAAAGAGCCATGGCATAACTAACAAAGTTGATGCCGTATGGACTTACGATCACGGGTTTGAACCATATAAATAGGAGTTTGGAGGAGGATGTATAGAAGGGAAAGGGCTAAAGACTGTTGAAAAAGGACTAAGTGAAGTCTTGGTTCAAGCAATCCCCCATTTATAGAGAGACAGAAATGTAACTGACGGTGCAATCAATGCTTTTGGGGAAACGGATCGGCGGGGCAATCAATGCTTTTGGGAAAATGGACTGGCGGTATATTCAATGCTTCTAGGGAGACGAACCGATGGGATGTTTCAGTCACTTCGAATGCTTACGAGCATGACGTCATGACGAGGGGTTCGAGAAAATCGGGGTCAAGATCATTTCTTATCGTTTCACTCTAAGAAACGCAGGGACTATCTATATATAGTCAAAATTAGGGAAGACTGTTTTAAGGCTCCCGTGGCAGTTCAAGCCCGGCCTCGATGAGATCAAAGCACAGTCCATGGTCCATCCCCGAAGCATTCGCCTCGGCAGGGTACGTCGAAGATTCACGATGGTGTACCTCGAGGCAGTATGCAAATCGACGACCATCATGGAAGNAAATCCGTACTGAGCCGTTATACACTTGTATTGATATTATTTCTTTGTCATTTATTAGACATTGTGTTGGGATTCACCCCTCCTATATAAAGGGGACTCTTATCATCTTGTAAGGGGATTCAGATTATTACACAACATATTGAATACAATACAACATTCTTTGCTTAAACAACTGCTCTATATATTTATTGCTCATTCTTTCATTGTTCATTTATTGTTCTTCATTTATTGCTCATTATTAACACAAAAAGCCATCTTTGATGCCCTCATTATCATTGATTCCTCATCAATTGTTCATCGTTATTAGCCCTATCTAAACCTCGAGGCCCTGCTCCAGCCAGCTCGAGGCTCAACATTGTGACCCAATTGGTTTGCATTTCAAATATTCTTTACTTACACTTAGCATCTATTGCCCTACAACTAGTATTAAAGTAGATCACATATTTTTAGAACCACAAAATCAAATATAATTGTAGTTACCATTTTTAAGGTAAACAGTTTGGCGCCCACGGTGGGGCTAAAAATAATAGTGATTGTTTTGGTGCTAGTTTTCTAATAACACATGTTACTCTTCACACCTTTTCTTGTCAAAGATTCTTTGATTTCAAGCTTAATCATGTCTAGCACACAAAATGCACATCTTCACGACAGTATAGCGGTATAGGGCTGGGTGTACCACCATTGGTTGTGCTCATTCCATTGGGGGGAGGGGGAGACTAAGAAAGATTGTGCCATGTTTTGTTAATGTCATAATAATAAAAAAATATAACGCATTCCTTTGAATATCTTTTTACAATATTTTGTCTTTTAAATTTGAATTAAAATTTTTTAAGTCACAACTATATAATATAATTTACAAGAAATTGCCTTAGATTAAATTCTTTTTAAAAAAATAGGCCAGGCCCACTTAGGCCCGGGACCGGCCCACTTGGGCCGAAACCATTAGTTCATGGTCCGGTCCTGGTTTGGTTACCTCCAAAAGCCCACGAAGGCCGCGACCGTTTAAGTCTGGCCCACAAAACCCGAGCCCACATAGGACCGGCCCACTTAGCCCGTTTAGGCCCGGGGCCGGTCCGTTTGCCAGCCTTATATATAACTTTCATTTCTAAAACCAAATAAGAACCAGTCAAACAAAATAAAAATTTAAATCAAAAAATACTTTTCAAATTTTTCTCCAAAAATTATTTTATAGCACCCTAAGGTATTAGCTAGGGATGTCAAGGGTTCGGTTCGGCCGGTTGTTTTGTAAATTTTGTACCATATCAATTTTCGGTTATTCATTATGTATAACCAAAATTAGACTTTTTGAAACCGTCCCAATTATATCGATTTCTCTTCGGTATTGGTACGGTTCGACTAATTTTCGGTATTTTTTTTAAATGTCATATAAAAGTCACTAGTAGAAGTATAATGCAATAACATACATACTTTTATATGACTTAGCAAAACTCTCTAGACATTTTTACATTTTAAAGGGTGATGAATTAATAAAATATGAAAGATGGCTAGAGTATAGATCCATCAACTACTCTACAATAGTATAAAAGAAACTAAACATTTTAATATAAAGAAAATATAAATCACACGAGTGGAAAGATATTAACCAAACCGGGATTGAGACTCAATAATAAAGTCTATATAAGATTAAATATTCAAAAAGATAAATTTAAATCATACGAAAGAAAATATAATCAATATATTATAGTTTGCTATTCATAATCGCTACAATGCATTGTGTCTTGCTAGTGAATATGTTGGAATAATTTATTTTCGATGGGAGTAGCATAATAAGTTTGAGAATTATGATTTTGCGTTTATTATTTGTTGGCTTGTAATTATTTTCATAATTTCAAAACCCACAAATTTTTTAATGTTTTATCATTTTTAAACTTAATATATAGATATATTTTTCACATGTAAATTTATTCGTACGGTTCGGTATTTTTTCGATTTATTTTCATAAAATAAAAAACATACCCTAATTATCGGTACAATTATAAATTTATATAAAAACTTACGATTTTGTTAAAAAAAAACCTAAAAATCGATTCGATATATTACGATTCGGTCGATTTAGTCGGTTTTTAAATGTCCATTGACACCCTAGTATTATGTAAGAAGCGACATAAGAATCAAGTTCAAGTTTCAGTGCAGTCAAAAAAATACTAGTGATTTTTTTTATGTGTCCAAGCCTTAGTTGAGGCACACACCATATTTATAAAAAGAAAATAAGATATTACTTTTTTACTATTTCTAATTTTCCCTAAAACCCTAAACCCCTATAAACAGAGGACTCAGATCTAGCAAGGAGCAGAAGCAGCCATTTCTCTCATCCGAGTTCGAAATGGTCGGTCCATTGCTTCGGTCTCTCTGGTCCACTACTAGAACCTCCTTCTCCTCTTCTTCCCACTATTCCCGTATCAAATCCTCATCCTATGCTCGAGCTTTTTCCACCGCCACTGCCACCGCCACCGCTGTCGAGTCCGCCCCCGGCGGTGCCCTGGATCCTGGCCGCCTCAGGAATGTCGCGGTTATAGCTCACGTCGATCACGGCAAGACTACTCTCATGGATAGGCTCCTCCGCCAGTGTGGCGCCGATATACCTCACGAGCGTGCCTTAGACTCTATTGACCTCGAAAGAGAGCGCGGCATCACTATTGCTTCTAAGGTATAGGACTCTGTATATATACACACGCGCGCTAACCTTGCTACTTTGTGTATGTGTTAAAAGGTGTAATCACTACATTTAAATCTGGGATGGACAAAAAAAATGCTTTTTGAATAATTAACTCTTTGCGTTTGTTGGGGCTAATCACAGTTACTGCAAGCCTCACTAGGATTCTCATGCTAGAAGAAATGCGTTAGATCAATCAAATCTTTTAATGGGCTAAATCCAAATCGTGTCATTTCTTTTCCTTATTTGGACCATTTCTCCATTTGTGCGTGTCAAAAATTAAATTAGAAAATGTTAATTTAGTGGTTTATTTTGTATTGCTTACCTATACTAAGCTATATGTGTGTTGTATTATATGTACATTATGTCCATACGTATTAGATGTATCTGCTAGTGGACTTGAAATGTTGCTAGAGAAATTTTTTTTTTGTGTGTGGGTNCTATAAATTTTAAATTGGGGCTGACTTGGTCCATGTTTTTATATCAGTTGAATTGATTAGGAGGGAATAAATTTTGTGGAATAAAGACACATAAGCATGTAAATATGGTTTAGGAAAAGGCCCACTTACTGTCGCCCAAATAACGACAAAGGCTTGCTCTCAGAGTTATCTGTGCCTTTTTCAATTTGTATTACCATGGAGCTCCCTATGTTCTTTTCCTTAAGTATTCACTGTCTTCCCTTCATTGATAGCAATATTTTATGTTTTGTTCAAGTCACCCAATTGTCCCTTACACTTGCTAAATTAAGATAAAAACCCTTGTTGCTAACCTTCAGATGGAATTATCACAGTAATTAGACCATGAATTCCTCTGTCATTTGAAGATGCTTTATGAGTTTGACTCTCTTCTCACTATAGTAGCTTGTACCCTGATTCAACCAGATTTTCGGCTTAAATGTTCGTGGTGTTCAGAGTTGCTCTGTGATTTGAAGATGCATGTTTTTTTTCCAGTTTCATTAGATGCATATTAGTTTTCAAATACATGTGGTGATGTAGGATATCAGAATTGTAAGGTTGTTACTATCTGAAGTCCGAATTACTGCTTCCACTGGCAATGATGAAAAAAAGGCCGGACTTACGGCTGCTACCATGTGGTTGGTAGTAGAGAGATGAAAGTTACAGCTAGGTATATTTGCTGAGCCAGATATGGATGATATTAATCTTAGAAAGTTTTAGCTGATGAGTTGTTTTTTTCCTCCGAATCTTTTGACTAGTACTTAATTTCTATATTGATTTGATTTTTTCCTTCTAAGACTAAGAGGTTTCGTGATGACCACCAATATAATTCCTTAGCTTGACAGCCGTGGATTAGGAACTTCCCTGTGATTTTGATTTAAGATGTATATTGTTTTTAAAATACATATGGTGATGGAGGATATAAAAAATCTAGAACTTGTTACTATGTGAAATGCAAGCTACTGCTTCCTTTGGCAATGATGAAAGAAAGGCCGGACTTACGGCTGCTACCATGTGGTTGGTAGTAGAGTGATGAAACTTACACCAAGGTATATCTTCTGAGCCAGATATGGATGATATTGGTCTTTAGAAAGTTCTAATTAATAGTTGGTTTTCTTCACCCTTATCTTTGTCCCCATACTTAATCTGTATATTGCTTTGCTGCTTTGCTTTTTCCTCAAACTGAGAGGTATTATGAATGCCCCGATATGATACCCCTTTTGTACACTTTATGTGACGGTTGACTGTGCACTCGCTTTAAGTCTTGGAAGACCTGGACACATCAGCTAAAAGTACTGTCATTTTTATGGGTATCAAAATTTGAAGTAATATTGTATCCTCTTATGATTTTTAGGTTGTCTTTTTCATGGCAAATTTATAGCAAATTCTTGCTCCTCTTTTGTCTTATCGTTAAGCATTTTGGACTTACAAGTTGTTAGACCACTTTTAAATGTATGATTGAGTAGTTCGAAGAGGGTAAAATTGGAAGAAAGAAAATGTAGTTTCGCTAAATAGGAAGGGTGTCAGTGTTTTTGTGGTAAACTACAAAGGTAATAACATCATATGAAAAGAAAAAAAAAGGAGTAATAGAAATGTGGTGCGCATATAGAATTAGAAGCTGGAATAAAGTGCATGATTCTTTTTTTTTTTTAATGAAGTAAGAGAATTTCATTAAAAGCATCAAGAAGATGCATAGCAAAAGAGAGTACAAGTAAATAGAGTGTGTCTGCTCATAAACAAAAACAAAAATAAACCTATGTTAAAACTAAGGAGCAGATACAGTCCAAAAAATGATCACAACTAGATACAGGTGCCTGATTAAGCCAAGTAAAAAGGTTCAATAAACATTTAGCTTTAAGAGCATGGTTTGGAGTTGATATCCCATCAAAACATCTGCTATTCATTTCAGTCCATATACACCAGAAAATAGAAGCGGGGATCAAGAGCCAAGTTTTTTTTGATGGATTTGCCAACTCTCCAAGAGCACCAGCTTTCGTAGGCCTCTTTAATACTATTAAGCATGACCCAGGCTAGTCCAAAAATTGAGAAAAACATACTCCACAAATCTGCCACAACTGCACAATGGAGAAAAAGATGCCTCACACTCTCTGGCTTCATCTGACACATGTAGCACCTATTCACTATGTAGATGTTCCTTCAACTTAGATTATCTTGAGTGAGACATGCTTCATATAAGGTTATCCAAGTGAAACCAATTACTTTAGGTGGAAGTTTAGTTCTCCAGATGAGTTTCCATGGCCAGTTGTCAATCAACTCCTTGTTCAAGCACAAATGTGCATAACCTTTCTTGACAGTGAATATCCCATCATGTTGGCCATCTCATAATAGTTTGTCTCTGTCCTGAGGTTTGATAGTGACCCCTGCTAGCTTAGATTGAAGCTCCAGATAGTCATTTAGCTCCCAGTCCTGTAAGTTTCTCCTTGTTTGTAGGTCCCATGAGTTGTTGTGCCATATTTGACCCAATGTGGAGTTTTGATTGTTAGCTATGAGATATAAATTTGGGTAGTCTTCTTTCAGAGTCTGGTTTCCTAACCACTCATCCTTCCAGAATGACACATGTGCTCCATTCCCTAGCTTTATTGAACAGTTGAGCGGGAATTCACTCCATAGGCTTGAGATAGAATGACACATGTGCTCCATTCCCTAGCTTTATTGAACAGTTGAGCGGGAATTCACTCCATAGGCTTGAGATATGCTTCCAGGGACCAGTTCCATGTGGTAACCTGCTCTGTTTGGTGCACCATTGACTTTGCACCCCATACTTTGCCATGATCACATCTTTCCACATTCCAGTGTTCTCAATGTTATACCTCCAATGCCACTTTATTAGCATGCTCTTGTTGTGCAATGCTAGGTCTTTTATGCCCAATCCTCCATGCTCCTTTGGCAGAATCACTCTTGGCCATTTCACCAGATGAAATTTGTTGTTTTGACTATTCCCTTCCCACAGAAAGTTTCTTCTAATTTTGTCTAGCCTTTTCTGCACCCTGGTTGGTATAGGAAATAGGGACATGAAGTATGTTGGTATGCAGTCTAGGACACTGTTAATGAGTGTTATTCTGCCCCCTAGTGAAAGATATTGCATTTGCCAAGTTTCAAGCCTTTTTTCAAATTTCTCTACTATCCCATTCCAGATATCTGGTGACTTGACTTTGGCTCCATGTGGTAGACCCAAATATGTTGTGGGAAAAGATCCCACATTGCAACCCATTAGCTCTGCTAGCTCCTCCATATTTGGGACTGTGTTTGCAGGGTAAATAGTGCTCTTCAATCTGTTCATTGGAGGCCGGATATAGCTTCAAAAATTATGAGTGTGAAGTTAAGATAGAGCACTTGCGACCTATCAGCTCCACAGAAAATAAGTGTGTCATCTGCATACAAGAGATGAGAGACACTAATTGAGCTCCCAACAAAACTTTCCACCTTGAAACCCTCCAACTAGTGTATTTGGTTTGCTTTGTCAAGCATTTTGCTGAGGCCTTCATTGCCAAAATGAACAAAAAGGGTGAGAGGGGACCTCCATTGACAAGAACTGAATACTTCACAGTTGTTACACAAAACTTGATCCACCTTATCCAACCTCATTAGCAATTAGTGCAGCATCAGTGATTTGTCTTGTTTTGATGAATGCATTTTGATGCCCTGAGACAAGGTTTCCAATCACTCTTTTCAGTCTTTCTGCTAGGATTTTGGAGGCAATCTTTCTGATCACATCAGCATCAGTGCATGATTCTTTTTTTTTTGGGTCCTTTCCCCTCCGAATGGGAAATTTCCGTGGAGATTTCATTTTGTGTTCTTCTTTGCGGAGTCATTGTCCAAGTTCATTCTTTGGATGAGATGAATTTTTGGATGACGATCTAATACTGACCCCACTATGTAGGATTAGACTGGGTATGTTGTTGTTGATCTAATACTGAAAAGTTTATAGGCATTAATTAACAAATCAAATACAGATTTTAGGATAATGTGTGATGTGCTTGGGTAATATTGTATTTTATCTACATTTTCTACGCTCAAAATAAATGACTTGGTTCAGTTACAAGGTTAGTTTATTTATTTTCAGTTTAAGCGAGATGTTCAATTGATTATTCTCTTCAAAAGAAAGTATATGGGTTTAAAATTTATAAAAGATTCAACAGTTGTTGACAAATCATGGTGAAGGAGAATTTTGTTTTGTTCTGAATGATTTGAGGTCATCAATTTGAGAGGAATGAAGTTTAGACCAAGGGGTCTAACTTAAAAATGTGATTTTACTTTCTGAAGAAGAGGTTATGATTGTCTTATTTGGGGGCCATATTCTTTTTATTTAATTTTTTATTTTTATGACTACAAATTGGGTCAACATGTTAGTTTAAACATTGTTTTGATTAGGTAGCATTCCTGGTGTCCTTTCAAGTGAATCTCCATTAATAGAATTACTTGGACCAAAATTTGGGTGAGCTCTGATATGCTTTTTAACACCTTTAAGGTTACATCCATCTCGTGGAAGGACAAAGAGCTTAACATGGTGGACACTCCTGGACATGCGGATTTTGGTGGTGAAGTAAGTATTTTTTTTTTTATTATAAATTTTGTGATTTTCCTTATAATGTAAAATCACTGATATATAAATCACGTTGAAGTCTCCACAAGAATTGGTAATTAGACTATTACCTTGGGATCAAAGTGTGTAAAAAGTGTTTAAGATAAATTGAACATTACATATAAAAAAGCGTGAAAGTGTTGAAATTTTTGAAAATTATTTGGATTTTGAGGGAAAAGTGATAAATAGAGTAGAAAACATTGATCTGCTTTGAAATAGAATTACCACTGTAATTTCTTTCTCAAGTAAGAAGTTCTCCAGTGTCGGATTGTCTAGAATCAATAAATGGATCAGCTGGTATAGTGTTAAAGAATCACAATAATTTCAAGATTTTGGGAAGTCCGTCAGGCTCTAGTTGAAGCTATTATTCTAGTCTTCTTCTCCTTACATCCTTTAAAGTAAGATTGCTGTAAAAGCAATTTCTTTGTGGTAAACTTTTATTTGAATTTTGGTATGTCGTAGAAAAGCTGATAAGACTGGATATTGAATGGGAGTGAAATATAAGAACAATAGTCCATTTTACCCTAGTGACTTGGCAATACCTTTTCTATTGTTTTTATGTCATCTTCATCTAAAAAAATATGGAAAGTGGATAATTGGTGAAGTTGGTTGCTGTCAAATGCCATCAACTTTGACTTTGTCATGCAGTGTTTTATTGTTTTGACGGAAGTTTTTTTTTGAATTTATACTGAGTGTCACCTTATATTTCTAGGTTTACATGACAATTATAAGCTGTACTTTTCTTTTACTTACAGGTTGAGAGGGTTGTTGGGATGGTTGAGGGAGCAGTACTAGTTGTTGATGCTGGTGAAGGTCCACTTGCTCAAACAAAATTCGTTCTTGCCAAGGCCCTAAAATATGGTTTACGCCCTATTCTTCTTCTCAATAAAGTAGACAAACCTGCAGGTATAATGGTTTCTAAGGTGATTCTCAATTTCTTATCAGTCATTACAAGCTTGTTTAGTAGTTTCATATTTAACTGTTCAACTGTACATATGCAGTGACTGAAGAGAGATGTAATGAAGTCGAGAGCCTTGTATTTGATCTTTTCGCAAACCTTGGTGCTTCAGGTTCTAGACACATCGTCTTTATAAAAATTCGAAGTTCCTTTTTCCAGTCTTTTGCTTGGACTCTCTCTCTCTCTCTCTCCACACACACACACATGCAAACTCTATATCTTCTATGTGATGGATTTTGAATTTAACCTCCAACTATTTTCTGATCAAGCTTGTATTCTTTTGTTTCAGAGGAACAATTAGATTTTCCTGTTCTTTATGCCTCGGCGAAAGAAGGATGGGCATCTTCCACATATACAAAATGTCCTAATGATGTGAAGGATATGTCACACTTGCTTGATGCAATTATTGGGCATGTTCCTCCTCCAAGTGCTAGCGTAGATGCCCCTTTCCAGATGTTGGTTAGTATCACATTTGGATAACTTAGTTTATGAATCTACATTTGCATGAAATAAATGATTTAGATGAATAGCTGCATATGCCACTTTGCAAAATTTAAAGCGTAGCAAGTGCAAAAGCTGGTAATGGGTCTCATATATTAAAGCTTACATACATTTAGCTCTTGTACAACTTCCTGCACTTGGTTATGATATCTTCATTTTTTCAAATTGCTTTTAGCCATGGCCCAGGAGTAAGAAATTCATCCATCTTCTTTTTTCCCAACGAGATTGTACACTGAATTCCTTCATATTTGGATGTATTATCGATGAGAAAGTGCAGAAGAGTGTTTGTTCTGAGAGCATTATTTTGTAGGACGATTGAAGTAATGCCAAATAGAATATTCATTTGATGAGTTAGCAACAGAGATGGAAGAGAGAAGCGAACACATGATCATATGACTATGAGCTTATAAATTCAAAAAGAATTGGATACTCACTGTTAGAGTCAAAGAAATCTTGGAGACCAGTGTATGCGAACAGATTAAATAGTTTGGGCTGTTTTGTTATACAGAGCTAAGCTAGATGTATCTATGATGGATATAATGCTGCAAGATGAATTGGGAAAGAGAGCTTTGTATGTGGGAAATGAGTTGTTTAAACAATCAATCAAAGAAGCCGAGCTTAGGAACAATTCAGTCAGGCTGGTATATAGCCTGGAAAGCAAGGATTTAACAATAGGTGAGAAAGCAATCCAAATAGAAAGAAAAAGGTTGTTGTTGTTGTGTGTGTGTGTGTGTGTTGNTCCGTTAATTAAGTACAACAGATGAGGTAGTTTTAAAGCTTGTTATAGTGTAGATTTATAGTACTATCTTCTTTGAAAGGTGATCTCAACTTAAGAAATAAGTTCTCCATCTTTTATGTGACTCATTGGGCGCAAACATTTAGGTTGGGGTTCCTAATTAGATGTACCGAACCATTGAAGCACCTGGTTGATATCTCTTTTCCAGGTCACATTCTTTTGATGATTTTTAATTCTGAATCATTTCAGAATCTTTGCAGTTCTATGTTTTATGAGCATTGAGAAGATGCTTAACAGTTGCTTTCAGGTTTCTATGATGGAGAAAGATCCTTACCTTGGTCGTGTTTTGACGGGCCGTGTATCTTATGGAGTTGTTCGTGTGGGTGATAGAGTACATGGGCTTAAGAAGACAGAAGATGGAACTGTAAAACTTGAAGAAGGAAAGGTTTGTTGTCTTAAAAATTAACGGAAAATCTTTTATCTGTTCAAATTTTATTATTATTTTAATATGTTTTAAGATGCTAGAGTAATATTTGAAAAATCTAATAAATTACTGTATGTGGAACCATTAAATTAATTTTCAAAGTTCCAAGTTTGGTCAAAGTTTGAGTTAGTCAACCTAAACTGAAATCCAAATTTGGTAACTTTTTGGTGTCAAATAGTCAAAACCATGTAATAGAGAATTAGGTGTTGTTTTATCATGGGATATTATGGTATTGTTTTTTGATACTTTAATTAACGTAGGAGATAAATAACTTGAAGAATCTATTGTTAGAGTGTTGATTGTAATGTCGATGGCAACTTTATTATGAGTCAAATTTTTAGAGGAAAGCTGGATTAAGGTATTTCATTTTATGGTTTACTAAGCTAAGTATCCGGACAACTTATTTCAAGCTTGAACGATTAGGATTATATTATCCTACTATTTATTTATTTATTTATTTATTTACCTATATTGTTGGAATAGGCAGCCTGAACTAGTGCCATGCCTTGATATTGTCAGCTAATGTTCACTTTGTGTTCTTTCCATGTTTGATGGTCAAACGTGCGGCTTTACAGATTGTAAAGCTGATGAAAAAGAAGGGTATGAGAGCAGATCCAGTTGATAGTGCTGGTGCAGGTGACATAGTATCGATGGCAGGGTTGTCAAGTCCGACAATTGGGCACACAGTTGCAAATGTGGAGGTATGTGGATTTGTTATCACTTTGCGATCCAATGAAATTTTAATTGTTTTATGTGGCACACCTTCCTATTTAATTTGTCCCAAAAAGAATGTCACTTTTCTATATTTAAACATGATTAGCTTAAAATTTCCCAATTTACCCTGAATGTGATAATCAATAGCCACACGAATGTTTATGGCTTGTTTTAGATCACAAGTTTCAAAAGTTTTTCTTTCTTACTTAAATTACATGCACAATCAAACATTGCCACATAAATTGGGATGGAGGGAGTAAGAATTATTAAATGGGAGGTATCTCCTTTTATAATCTTAGGTTGTACATCTTTAAAACTAAAATCAAAGTATTGAGATATCCAACATAGATGATGGTCGAAGTCTAACAAGCTACTAGTGATCACAAACAACTACTCTGCCTCAGTCCCAAACAAGTGCGAACGGCTATAACAAGCTACTAGTGGTAAGGTGTGTAATTCAATAATTGGAGGTATCTCCTTTTATAATCTTAAGTTGTACATCTTTAAAACTAAAATCAAAGTATTGAGATATCCAACATAGATGATTGTCGAAGTCTAACAAGCTACTAGTGATCACAAACAACTACTATGCCTCAGTCCCAAACAAGTGGGATCGGCTATAACAAGCTACTAGTGATAAGGTGTGTAATTCAATGTACATTCTAGTCAGTTGATTCAAACCAAGCAATAGTTGATATCTAATTCATTATGTTACTGCTGTTTTGCGTCCTTTTCCTTTATATTTCGACTAGTCTTTTTTATGCTTTGTTAGTTGATACATTTTAGTACTTGTGACTTGTTTAACTATATTTTTCTGATGTGTTTCCTTGTTATTGTCCGCGCGGTATGTGGTTCTTGATCGGTGTAACATGTTACTGATCCTGAACTCTTTTTGAGTTTAACCTCTCAAATTTGATAGGTTATGACAGCATTACCTACTGTTGTGCTTGATCCCCCTACCATCTCCATGACTTTTGGTGTCAATGATTCTCCCTTGGCTGGTTCTGATGGTATTCATGTAAGTATGTAATTTTGTTCCGCTCATTTCCTATTTGTGTGATCTATGTGTACGTCTAGTTGCATCTGCTTTTAATACTCCGAGAATGTGATTATCAAAAATACTTGGAGAATGTCTTTACAAGAGATACCCATCTCATCCACTACTTTTGTGTTTAATCATTTATGGCCTTTGTCTATTTGATCCTAATAGAATCCATTTTTTTATTTCACTTATGTTTTATGTTTTGCCGAGGGCCTATGGGAAAAAGCCTCTCTACCTTACCAGGTAGGTGTAAGGTCTACCTATGCACTACCCTCCCCAGACCCCACTTGTGGGATTAGACTGGGTCTGTTCTTGTTGTTGTTGTACTTCTGTTTTATGTTTTATCTTTACTTTTGATTGTGACTGAGGTTGATGAGTTGTAGTTGTGAGCTAGGTTCAGGAGGTGCGGTCTCCTTTAACCTAACGAAGATGATCAAATTCTAGTGTTTAGGTTCCACATTTCTTGAGGGCATGAGTTGTAGTCTCCTTGTATGTTATTGGGGAATCCTCCCCTCATGAGCTTCGTTTAGTGTTAGAGTTTGTCCAAGGTCCATTTCTTCCCATGGTAATCAGAGCCAGGCACATCGGTCCCTATTATTGTGTTCCACAATTTTGGGCTCCCGTGTTATGTTATCCAAGTTCTAGCTGTTCAGTCCTAGGTATGGGGGAGTGTTAACTCCCACATTTGTTGAGGGAATGGGTTATAGTCTCCTTAGATGGTCTTGGACGGTAATTTTGTGCTTGATTATAACAAAATCTCCTCTGCAATTATCTTTTTCCTTTATGTTAAATTTTATAATATTGTCAAGTTTTTCTTGGACCACTATCTCTAATTAACCTTAAAAGTTTCTTCAAAACGAGAAGGAAAGGAGCATGATGGTCTGAAATAAATTAACTCATTAGTTACAGAATAAAAATGCATTCTTCATTTCTATGCTAGTTCTGTTCCCTTTCCTATTTACCAGTTAAAAATGAAGTTGATATTGTTTCTTCCTTACATTCTCTAATAAAAACTCTATGTGATAGTAAAAACAGAGAATGTCTGTAATTATTGTTCTGAAGGGTTATTGTACTATACAGCCTTATAAACCTTTCTGGAAATAAGAACATTCAGTTGGGGCAGAAGTGAAGATGTTAAGGGTGGATGGTTTTCTTTGCTTCTCTTTGCTGTTAAGTTGCAAAAATTTGGCAGTTTGTAATGCTTTTATATGCAGAGCAATTGGTGGGGCTTAATGTCTCAATTGACTTTTTTTATTTGATATTTGGGTGAGAAATACTGAACCTATATATTGCTCCTTGTAACCAATAAGAATTTTATTCCCATAAATGACTTACCATTTTGAGATAGAGCATTTTGGAATCAGTGTCCATAAATTTATTGAATGCGGACAAAATTTTCAGTTTTGGCTTTCTAGAATTCCATTAGGTATCTTTGATTTTTGTTTGTGAAAACTGCCTGGGAAGTAGGATTTGCTAAAACTGCTGCTGCTTCTGTCTGTTTTGATGTCATCTAAAATGCTTTTTGCACTTTTTATAGTTGACTGGAGGGAAAATTGGTGACCGGCTGCTAGCTGAAGCAGAAACAAATCTCGCCATAAATGTTCTCCCCAGTACATCAGAATCATATGAAGTGCAGGGTAGAGGTGAACTCCAATTAGGTGAGCTGTTTAGGTGTAACAATTTCTGACAATATTAATGTTTATCTCCTCCGATATGCTTAAGGGACAATAATTAAACCGGATCAAGCATGCCACCTGAAATATTTTCCTCTAGAGTTTTACATACAATCTAACTCTTCTTTCTGTTTTCTTGTCCATAATAGGCATCTTAATTGAGAACATGAGACGTGAAGGATTTGAGCTCTCTGTCTCCCCACCTAAAGTCATGTGAGTTTCTTTGTTATCGTTCTAGGCTTGTTTGCTAGGGAATTACACTTTGATATGCATGTGTACTCTTAATTCTATACTGTAAACTTGGTGACTTGGTAAATATTGTTATGATTACTCAAATATTTCAGGAACATATAGAGCATTTAGCAAAAAAAGAGCAGGGGAATTATTTCCTGTCATGGTCTGTAGATTGAAGCTTTCCATAACTATACAAGCATGTTGACATGCACATCCCAGTACATACACATGCATATATATGGTAGACATGTATAGCTTCATTTAAGACGGTATCTTTTTATGTCTTGAATTGTCTAATGATCACTCTGCTATTAATATCAATTATTCACCAGTAATCTAGGCGATAAGCTGTTAATATTGCATTTGCAATGTCTGTATGCATAGGTACAAAGTAGAGAAAGGCGTGAAGCTTGAGCCAATTGAAGAAGTGACTATTGAGGTGCACAAGTCAAATGCATAAGCCTAAGATAAATTTTTAACTTAATTAGAACTTATGCCAAATCTCTAGGCCACGTTTTCTATTTCCAGGTTGATGACGAGCATGTAGGTTTGGTCATGGAAGCACTTTCTCACAGGCGGGGTGAAGTTACTGACATGGGCCCTGTTCCTGGCAACACGGGAAGGACTAGAATGTGTCTTACATGTCCTTCAAGGTATTTCTTTTCACTTCTTCTTTGCAGGTTTTATTACTNGTCAATAAAGATTTCTCTTTTAGTATATACTAGAAGGTTAGTTATCTGAGCATATTTTTGTTCTCCATCCTCCTTTTTTTGATAAGTAATCAAAGATTTTATAAATACTTGCACTAAGCCGGTGGACCCTTGATAGGAGAGGGTGGAGGTCGAGAATTAGGATAGAAGGTTAGTAGTTAGTAGTTAGTCGAGCTTTTCCTTGTCCTTAACAGTAGTAATAGTGTTAGCATTGTATTTTCTTATTCTTCGGTTCCTATTATTATTGTGTTCTTTTGCATCGGTTTTCTTAATACCTGGCTGATGTTTCCTTCGCTTTTTTACTATCTTGCTGGTGTTATTGCTTCTTTCTATCTTTCCTTTAGCCGAGGGTCTATCAGAAACACTCTCTCTACCTTCTCAAGGTAGGGGTAAGGCTGCGTATACACTACCCTCCCCACCCCAGACCCCACTTGTGGGAATACACTATTTTTTTTTCTTTCTTTTTTGTTATTCTTCTTGTTGTTGCACTAAGCCAGTGCTAAAAGACATAATTACTAAAAGTGCAGTTCCTCTATTGTATCCAGAAATCCAACTTCATCATGCACAATAAGCAGGTTGCACCAAAAAGCTAGCAAACAAATACATCTTTGTTTAAGGCTATGTATGTTTCTCCTGTTGCCTTCAATAATTCTGCTATTTCTGTCAAGCCAAGCAGTCCACCCAAATGGCTTGGGAAATGATGTCCACCCTCTTTGTTCCAACATTGCAATAGCTCAAAATGGATTTTGGCTTGCCAAAAGAATGTTCCTTTTATATGGTCTTTGTCTTTCTAGTGTAGCCCATAACCCTGAAAGAATGTGAAATTAAAAGTTATTGGATAATTTGGTTACTGGAATAATAAAGGTAAATGTCAGTTTACTGAAATGATTAATCAATGCATTTTTTTCAAAGATTTTATCTAAGGTAACCAACAAATTTGTGGATTTCAGTTTCATGTTTGCTTTTCTGTATTCAGACACTCTCCATATACTGCATATTCATCAAGCTTGTCTGATTGATTCCATTGTTTAGTTTGTCTAATTTTTAACATTCCCTGACCTATTGCAGAGGGCTAGTTGGCTATAGAAGTGTGTTCAGCAGTGACACCCGTGGCGCTGGATTTATGCACCGGGCATTTCTAAGTATACTTTTCACTAATCCTTACTTTTTATCCTTAAAATTTAATCTGTCCATTTCTCCAATTTCCTGCTGCACATTACAATAGGATCTCTCTGCGTATTTCTGCAATTATGTGCCCTCTTCTATTTTAATACAATTTAATAGTAGAGTATGCAAAAATGTAAATGTGCTAGCAATATGTGGATCTGAGTATATCAGCTCAAATTGTTTGTAGTAACACATTCTAATCTGGTGTTGCAAGGTCTCAGAATGTACACGTGTGTTGCAAATGTGGTCCTCTTTATATCCTTGTTCTTTCCTCGGATCCACATCGGGCAAACCATTCCGTTCTTTTCTTTCTTATTTTTGATCTTCTGAGCTTTTGGGGGCTGAAGTTCTTCATGGGCGAGTTTTTTCTTTGACAAGGAATATAGTGTTAATTATATTTTCAGATTTGAGAAGTTCTTCAGAACTTTTGGATTCTCAATTTTAATTGACAGTCAAGAATAAGGAAAAGCTTGTCCTTGACTTGCTGATTTCTGAATGGCACTTCAAAATGAGCTTTTGCCCTCTTTTTCTGCTATGAATAGATGCAAGTGAGGATGTATCTTTGAATAATCACGATCAACTCTCAAATACATGTGTATAGAGCAAACTTTCATTTAGCAATTGCCAAGGTTCTGGTTCTGTTGGAGTTATTCGTTAGCTTTGTTCCTTCTTTGCTTACTTGACTAATAACACATGCTTGTTGAATTCCTCACATATGGTTAAACGAACTTTTCATTGAACTTAGCATTTTTCATCTTGGTGCAGCTTATGAAAAATATCGTGGTCCTCTTGGAAATGTCAGGAAAGGAGTACTAGTAAGCATCCTTGTTACCCTGCAAAGACTGTTTGAGATCTTTTCTTCGGTCCCCTTGTCCTGTTTAATGTTGCTTTGTGTTTCATCTTTGTGAAGTATAAATGGTGGGGTATGTCCCTCTGTTCTGCCAGGGATGTCTTTTTCATTTCCCATTCTATACATCTTAAGTTTGTTCAGCCAATTTTCACTTTATAACATTGTTACTATGTAGTGATGCGTGAATGCATGTCACTTGGCCAGACATTTCAGAGTTTTTCTGTATATTGTCCTTTTACAACTTGTGACTTTCATGGTTCATGCTTCATAGTACCAACTTAAGATGCATTTACATACTTACCTGCTTAAGGATGCTAGGTCTGAATAAATAAAACATTTTTTCTCTAGTTTTTCTCATTGTATTTTCATGGATGACAGTTCAATCACATGTAACATTGAAAATCTTTGCAAAGCATCCTCGTTGAACCCAGAATTTGTTGGCCCTTATTCTATTGCCAATTGTCTTTAGCATATTTGTTATGAGTACATCTAATTCAGCTTCCCTCTTACACTTTGAGGCAGTTTAGCTTCAGATTTGAATGTCTGCAAATCTGTATACACCAATTGTATTTCGATATAATATCCTCTTTCCATTTGTGGATTATTGTGCCTCATTCTATTGGTTTAACAGGTATCAATGGGCCGCGGGTTAATCACTGCTCATGCTCTTATGAATTTAGAAGCTCGTGGAATTCTCTTTGTGGCTCCTGGGATGGAGGTGGTTCAACTGAACTGTTTGCTAACTTTTTCTCTTAGTTTCTTTCCTTACACTTGGTTCCTTTTGGGAACACACACACTCTCTCTCTCTCTCACACACACACACACACACATATATTACCTGGGGCTGATGGCTCTGAGATGTTGTCATTCAAGTTTTGATTACTTATTCACAAAAAGAGGGGGAGATGTTTTGAGTGTGGAATGTATAATAGACTATAGTACCAGAGTCCTTGTAACGTGAAGACTTGTAAAAACTGAAATGTCGAAGTAAACGAAGAAAGCAAAACGGACATGCTCTTATGAACAATATAAAAATATTCTGATCTTTGTCTTGGATAATATGCAGACATACGATGGCATGATTATTGGAGAGCATTCTCGAGATACCGATCTTGATGTAAGGAGCTGTTGTTTCTTATCTTAGTGTATTTGTCATGTGCATTTGTGACTCTTGGGTGATTGCATGAAACAGGTCAACCCAGTTAGGACAAAAGAACTCACAAATGTAAGGGCTGCTTGCAAGGATGAGAATGTGAGGTTAACTCCTCCCCGCCTTGTAAGTATCTCATTTTGCGTTCACTTTTTTTTGGGGGCGAGAAATATCTCATTTTGCGTTTTACTTTATCCAGTTACAAAACTTTTTGCTGTTGACATCTTGGGTATGGCACTCTTAATCATATTTCCTTATGAGAAGTGGTTAAAGAATGTCCACAATGAGGGTCCCTTCTAAAGGATGTCAGGAAATATAGTTTAGTAGCTATGTGGAATGATCCCCTGTATAAGTTCTCTCCAACTGTGATAAGTTTCAGTCTTCACTGGATTGTCCATCTTCGAGAATGTCTTAGCTAAAGGATTTGATGGTGTTATGTTTTGCTCCTATGGATTGTATTGATTATATCGTTGATTTTGTTGCAGATGAGTCTTGAAGAAGCCATAGGATACGTTGCTTCGGATGAGCTTATTGAGGTATGTTTGCTATTTTAACTTCTCAAACATGATAAAATGACTTGCCGTTACAGGTAACTCTTTCTATAGTAGTACTTATCCTGAATCATGGGTTGCTTGGTCAATAAAGCTTTACTGACTTGCACAATGAAAATAAAACTGATTTGGCATTACATAATATTAAGCAGTGTCACTGAGACGAAAACTAGGGGAGCGAATGGGATTAGATACCCAGTAGTCCTAGCCGTAAACGATGGATACTACGTATCGACCCGTGCAGTGCTGTAGCTAAGGAAATAAACCTATGCTAATGACGCATTTCTTGTAAAATTTATTGATGCAGGTTACGCCAAAAGCCATTAGGCTAAGAAAGAGATACCTGGAAGTGAACAAAAGAAAGCAAATGAGCAAGAGACCCAAGGATTGAAGCCTTTTTCTTTACTTTTCCTCGATACCTGTCAAAGCTTGTGCCACCGTTTGTATACGTGAAGCTTAATTATTTTCACCTCTACTTAGGTGTTTCTCATTTATAGATTTTTACGCTTATATAGATAGAAAAGAAAAAATGTATCATACAATATTCTTTTTCAAACACTGGATACCAGGAAATGTATTTCGCTGTAACAGCTGATTAAAGGCAGAGTTACTGAAAATAAATGCTCGAACGCAATAAAATTTTGTCGAACTTTGACTCTTCCCCTTCTCATCGTTCAACCAATTCACTTGAATTAACGTTTTACTTTTTTGTGATACCCTCTAAAGTTTCGTTTCATATTTAGTGGTGCCATCTGTTGATTTAGTGAATATTATGCGGTATCATCTTTTGCATTAACTGTTCATACAATTTTTACTTTTGTTTATGCCTTCTCTAATACAAATGCAAGCTGCAAACCATTTCATTTGCAATTGTGAACATTACTTAATGCAACTCCTGGTTATAGACTAGTTATACAGCGAGGGAGATCAAATTTCCAGTCCTCTTTCTTTGCCTTGTTTCCTACACGGGGTTCGCTTTCTGTTTTGTCGTTATTATGTTCCTATCCCATTTGACTGTTTCTGTTTCCACCCTTATATCCCAGAGGGGCTACTTTTCATTTTGGGAAACTTACACAAATGTACCAAATAAATTTCCTTACCAACCTCTAGCCATTAATCATAGACTTAGCCAACAAAAATTGAAAAACCAAATAATAGGGTTCCTTCTCTCAAAGAATCACATGCAAAAATCACCTTCCATATTTTAAGCGTGATTAGCAACACTAGATACAAGACGGAAATGAAATTTTATGGATGAGGTAGCAATAAGGTGATGAAATACAAAAAAAATATACAATATTCCAAAAATCTAAACAAAAAAGGAACTTTTTCAATGGGTATAGTTGAAATTCATTGAAAATATATAATAAGTCAATATACAAAATTTAAGGAAGATTGGAGGTGATTTGGACTGGTTTTATATCAAAATTCGTAATTAAATTGAGCTAAAAAAAGTCTTCTACGACACATGCATCACGCATGTATCTCACACACGGGTATACATGGATATACATGTGATACATAATAGATAAATATATGATACATATGTGAACACAAATGATACACACATCATTTTTTTCATGTTCAGTTTTTACCGAATTTTCAATTCAAACAACCTCAAAACTTCACCAAATCATCCCAAAATTGAGATTCAAGCTCCTTAAGTTGTGCCCAATCTATTCTAATAACACCCACTTAAAACAAAGCAAAAATTTGATTTTTTTTTTCTACAAATAGCTAATTGGTTAATAGTAGTAATATTTTATAAATTGACCAATTTTTGTAACGAGCTACCTATAAATGGACATAGCTGGTAATTTCCCATTCATTTTTACCAACTCTTTTCGTTCTTCTTTCTTTCTCCTTTTCCAAAGCCACCCTCGTGAAACAAACTATTCAAGAAAAACTAGTATAAAATGCAGCAATGAGCTATTTTTCTTGAACTAAAATGATCAACATAAGTTTCTTCAATGCTACCGAACCATTTCTATGTTTTTTTTTTTTTG